CCCCCCCCCCCCCCGTTTTGTTGGGCTGCCTTAGCACTTCTGATTGGCGATTGAGGGGCATGTAATGCAGAACAAGATGGACCCTTGATCTAATCCAGCAAGGCTGTTCCAGAGCTTGGGAAAATTATTTTTTTGAACTATCTGCTCTGTCCATGATGGCTAGGGGATTTTGGAAGGTGCAGCACAAAGAATGCACTTTTTCCAGCACAATTGTTTACTTATTATGCATGCTTAAATTGTGTAGAGACATACAGTTTATCAAGATGTACATCTCTAAAAAAATGAATCTATATCTTTGGAAGCTGCATCTTTGGAAACTTTGGAAAACTTGGAAAAAATCTTTTGGGAAGCATTTTTTTTTAAACTGATAGGAAAACAAACTCTTAAACGGATGGGAAAAGTGTGGTGTAGAGTCATTATTCTACCCTGTGTGTGTGTGTGTGTATGCACGCACGCGCGCACACACACACACCCCAAGTCTTCCAGCAAGTCTTAGGCTCCATCTGCACTGCGGAAATAAGGCAGTTTGATACCACTTTCACTGCCATGGCTCCATGCTATGGAATTCTGGGGTTTGTTGTTTTATGAGATATTAAGCCTTCTCTGTCAGAGAGTTCACAACAAACTACAAATCCCAAAATTCCACAGCTATGGGTTGAGGTATGGCAGTTAAAGTGATGTCAAGCTGCATTAATTCTCCAGTATGGATTCCTCAAGCATTTCTTTCATAGGGGTGTGCAGTCCTCCAAGGTCCTCTGGTGAGGTCAGTGTGTCCTCCCAAACCCTGAAAAGTGCCCATTCATACAATTTTTTAAAAGGCCATAATCCTAGTCTTTCCTGGAAACTGCTGTTTGCATTTGAAGGAATGATTCCATTGGGCAGCAGTTGGTATTTCACTTGAAGTGCAGACAGCAGCTTCTGCAAAATGATATTTTTCATAACTAGGACCATGCCAGGGAAGAAGTTTATTTCTGTCTATCTGGTATCTCAGTTCCAACACTGTTCAGGCTTTCCTGAAGTTGCTATTTACATTTTTAAAAAGGAAGGAAGAAAAAAAAAAGCAGTTAACGCTATTCAGGCAGCTCACTTCACATCTGCTTTGGCCCCAAAAAGCCTGCTCCTGATAACATATGGGCCTTTAAAAAAAACTGTTAAAGCAACAAATAATATAAAGAAAAGAGCAGCCATAGGTTGCTGCTGACTCTTGCAAAATTTCAAAAGAACAGCCTTAACATCTAAACAAGTTAATGAAAGCATGCGTAGGGAACAACAGTCCCATGTGAATATATTGATTTCCTCCTTGTATGGCTCTTGGGAGGATATTGTGGTTAAACAGGTCGACTCTCTTTTATCTGAAATGTTTGGGACCTGAAGTGTTTTGAATTTGGGAATTTTTCGTATCTTGGAATATTTGCATATATGCAATAAGATACCTTGGAGACGAGACCCAAGTCTAAACATGAAATTCAATTATGTTTCATATACACCTAATACACATAGCATGAAGGTAATTTTATAAGTAATATTTTTAATAATTTTGTGCATGAAACAAAGTTAGTGTATACTGAACCATCAGAACACAAAGGTGTCACTATTACCGCCATCTGTGTGGGCGATTTTGGATTTTGGAGTATTTTGGAGTTTAGAATTTTGGATAAGGAATACTCAACCTGTAGTTTTATTTCAAGCTGGATGGCATTGGTAATAAAATAGACTGTGCATATTAAACAGTAATAACATCATCCATCCTAACATTAATAGCTGTTAAACCCATTCAGGGAAGCTGATTTACTATCTGCCATTGAAATCAGTGTTTACTCTTGTTCTGCATGTTTGGGGCAGAATCCCCTCCTTTCCAAATGCAGTTTGAAATAACACATCTGATATGTAAGAAAGCAGGATTTGTAAAAGCTGAAAACTCACTCAAGTACCATGATGATGAAAGGTACCCCCCCAGAACACAACCCTCCCCCCCCCAAAAAAAGACCAGCTGCCAAGATCTTGTTACACTCTCACAGCCTTTAGGGCCTACAAATCAAGAGAACATTGCACTTGTAGAATAGTTGTATAGGTACCCATAGAAATCCAAGAATATTGTTGAATGGAGTCACAGCAGGGCATAGGGGTGTCTCTAGCATACATGATTGAAATTATTACTTTTGTGACACAGGATGAGATAGAAATACATTACAGTGGTCCTTTCACATTTGCTGCAAATAAAAAACCATTATTCTTTTTGCCGGAGAGAACACCTCTCTAGGAATCTCCAGGTCCTCTAGTGCAGCTCTGTGATCAGCATCTGCCAGAAATTGATCATAGAATCATGCTGGATGACCTACAAATGCCTAGAGAAGTGTTTTGTCTAGGAACTTCTAGGTTCTCCAGCATAACTCTATGGTCAATTTCTGGCAGAGTTGTGCTGGAGGACCAAGAGATTCCTAGAGAGAACATATTAATCAAAACCTCTAATAATCAAAGCTGCAAAAGTCAAAGCTGCAAATGTGGCAGAGCAACTGTATCACTTTCACGGCCACTTGCATTACAAATATGTAAAGTTAAGCCTCCCTTTAACTCTGTAAAGTGAGACAAGAAGCAGTTCATGCCAAGTGTACTTTACAATAAGTAATTGGCCTTCCCTTTGCCATAATGGGTCTTCCTGGGAGGCAGTCATGCTTGTCCCATGAGCTGATAGCAGCAACCAGGAACATAATACTTCAGCTTTGAAATCCTAGAATTTTTGAGAGCTTGGGTTCCAAGTACATGAGAATGTATGATGGCTCATGCTCACTTCAGAATGAGCAGATTCTTCCTTAACCTATAAGCGC